TCTTCGGCATCACCATCCCACTCCATTCCCCCTCTGTTTCCTTTCACACTACACTACAGAGTACACCGAACCCCACTACACTGAACTCTCCATCTCCATCCCCAACCCTCCCCCTTTCCTTCTCCCATTACACTATCCCAACCAAAACCACCACCTTCTCACTCCCTCACTCCCTCACTTCCCTCATCAATCACAACACCATATCAGCATCATAATCATGATCCGTTGATTTAACAAAATACACCATTTCTACTTACATATCTACCTACCTACCTATTCATCTATCTATCAACCAATCATTTCCAAAGTCCAGCTAAAAACTACATGTACATGTAAGATTACATGTGCATACTAACTATATACTCCATACTCCTTCCTACATCTACACACCATCCCCATCACATTCCGATCCAAGTTCAGATTCAGATTCAAATTCAGCACAAAACATATAACACCAATAAAATATCAAAAGAAGGTACTACGAAAGGAAGATACATGCCACAATACAATCAACAAAATAAATCTCATCATTTATCTATCTACCCTACCCTCCCTCCCTACATATCACCAACCTACCACCCTACGAATCACCAACCTACATAAATAAATTATGAATAATATCATCACAATTCCTTCATCTTTTCCTTTTTCTTCCCCTTTCATCTGCATACATCTGCATATATCTAGATAACATCTAATTTGAAGAACTCTCTCTCTCTCCCTCCTCTCCTCCCTCCCTTTTTCAATCCTCACTCACTAACTCACTCACTCATCTAAAAGACGCATCTCAACTCACCTCATCTCACCACTCACCACAAAAATTCTCACCAAAAAAAAAGGAGCAATAAAAGACACCCAGAAAAATTAACGGCAAGAAAAAATAAAGAAGCTAAAAAGCTCACAATTACTAAATACTATAAATTTTTGATTTCCATTGATCCCTAAAGAGTTTGCTACACTCTTTTCTTTCTTTCTTTCTTTCTTTCTTTCCCATGCTATGCTTTCCCACCTTTCGCGCGCTAAGTAACATTACATATTTTCCTCCCCTTCCATCTCGCCCAAAACCATCCCTTAAGATCCTGTAAAAAAAAAGGAGTGACGCCATCATAATTTTTATCAAGATCCGATCCATTTCACTCCCCCAACAAATACCCGCTTTTTCTTTTTTTCGGACCCTATTTCAGATACATGATGGGGAATCGATTGGAAAATATCAAAAAGCCAAAAAAAAAAAAAAAAAAAAAAAAAGCAGAAAATCTATGTGCTAATTGGGATATCAATTCATTATGAAACCGGAAGAAAACAAAAGGAAAAAAAGAAGAGGAAAAGATTTGTCGTAAACACATGAATTTTTCGATTTCTGAAGTGATGTGAGTAATGATGATAGGAATCGATAGGTTGTATATAGAATAAGGATATCTTAGATAATGACGATGACCGAGATGAAGCTTTTTTGATATTTTTTTTTTTTTGGTTTTTGGATCGAGTCGAACCTTTTTATAAGGAAATGGTGGAAAGAGTGAATGATGACAAAGGAAAATTTGCAATGAGCGTGGGTGTCAGTTTTGACAAAACTCATTGTGATAAAATATTTTTAAAGTTGTGCTCGTCTCGTCTTGTCAAATTATCCTTGAAAATCCTCATCTTTTCACCATTCGACCCTATGAACCATTGTGACTCACACTCGTCCGTGATCTCTGGGGCTCTGGCTTCAAGTCAAGCAGTCGTATCTTAGCTGAAATCAGGGCTATCCTCGTTGACGAATTCAGCCTGACAACTGATGCTTCTTCGGTAATTCGGAGAACCTTCAGCACTTTCGTCCACAAGTCCCTCGCGAGATTTTGCTCTTTCACGGTGAACCACAGTAGGATGTCTTGCTACTGCTCCCCATTTTGTCTTCTCTTCCGGAATTGGGTTTTGCTTGATACTACGTCCATCTTCCTCATAACTAGAAGCCATGGGAAGGCCGTTAGATTGACGCTTCATCGTATTCTCCTCCTCGGGACCTGGGGTAATGCGACTAAAGTATTCGTCTTCGGCAATTCCAAGCTCTTCGGAAGATTCCGACAATTCCTTGTATCGCTGTTGTAATGAGCTTGCAGAATCCCTTAATGGTGCCAATGTCATCTGTGCAGATCCTCGTTTAGAAGTAGTTCTCTTTCCCGAAAGCCATGATCCTTCAGAATCTATTGATGCAAGGGATTGTGAAAGAAGGGTAGGTGGTTCAGGTGAGGGTATATCTGTTGATCTGTGGCCGCTAGTAGGAGTGCCATCTCGTAAACGCATAGCACTGATTGGAGTATCGTGTCTCCTTTGCTCTTCTAGGGATCTTCGTAAACTAGTTCTCTTATCTGGATAATCTGTTCGTATCGGTGGTACGACATCAGCCTCAGGAGATTGAACTCGGGAATCTGGTGGTGAGATTGGAAGTTCCGGTAAGTCCTCCCTGAATTTTGACATTGTTCGTTTGGGAATATTTGATGTTTGCCTAACCATTGGTGCATATGCCAAATGCGGTGGTGGCCCAGTTTGTACTGTTTCCCGCGAAGTGTTGGAGAAGGATGGCGTAGAAGCTCTACTGAGTCTTTTATTTCTCCTGAAGAATGATGTCCATGATTGAGAGGTTTTGGCCTCTGCAGGCTGCTTGACAGATTCTGTTTCTATTCGCTGCTTTTTTGATGGGGAAGGAGTCCTGGATTTATCCAAGTTCATCACTTGTGACATGTTTGATGGTCCTCGGTTATAGGCTCGTGGTGAAGCAGGTGGTGAAATGTTAGCTTTGCCAATAGTACCAACCTCCGCAGTTCCCAAGAATGGTTCAGCACGTTCTGGAGAAGTGGTTAAGTTCTCGTCGGCGAATGGTGTTTCGTGCGCGACAGAATCGCTGAGAAAGGCATCCGCGGGTCGCTTTCCTCTGCCAGTATCCCAAGTATCTGAGCCTCTCCTTTTGCTTGATGTTGTAACCGCCGAAGTTCCAATACCCAAGCCTACTACTTCTCTTCCAAGAACCCCTCTCTCCATATTATCCGGCGGCGGCGTGCCATATCGAGCCGCGGCAGCTTCATCGGCCTTTTGTTTCTCTTGCTTTCTTGTTAACCTTCGCTCTGCCTTCAACCTCTCAGCCATCTTCTTCTTTTCTTGTCTCTTTTGATCTCTTTCCATGAGCTCCCGTAGCTCTCGCGCATCCAGATCATCAGCGAGTTCATCAATTCTCTTATTCGCTTTTAAAACTTCTTCTGGAATGTGTATACGGTCCGAAACACGCCTTCTCTGGGATTCGGATATATCCGAGCCAAAACCGGTTACACCTGGCGCATATCGAGGATTTTCAGAATGTCGAATTGTAGGCCGAGGTGCCAATGCATCCAATGCGGATATTCTCCAAGATCTTTGACGTTCGGAATTCGAGGATACTGAAGAGAGCATCGATTCGGCCGTTGGTAATGAAATATCAGAATGAGGGTTCTGTAAATTTCCTTTCAATCCGTTGCGCATTCTCTTACTGTCCTTCTTCATGGGACGACCAGAAGATGAGGCATCGACGGCCGGTCTATGGGGCATAAAAGAAACCATTGCTTTGAGTTCCTCCTCTCTATTATGATCCTCCTTGCGTTTCTTACTCGACTTCCGTCTTGAAAGTTCCGCGGCACCTCTTTTGTGTAGTGTTGGCACCCTCTCGCAGTCCATTAAATTCTCGCCCTGTTGACCTGTAACGCCAATTATTGTTTCTTCTCCGTTTCGAACATTCGCAGGTAAGGGAGGAACGGGAGGTCTATGCGCGTCTCTAGGCACGCGAATGCTATCGTTTCGACCAGGAGAAAAACTGTAAGCCCTTTGCCTCTCGGGTTTCTGTAATTTTTTCGACTCCCTCGAGGATTTTCTTCTTCTCTGAGTGTCCCTCCGGCTTAATCTTCTCTCTGGGACCAAGGAAGGGTTTAATTCGGATCCGTCATGCCTCCCAGGGTCAGGCTGTGTGCCAGCATTGTGCATGGTTGAGTCTTCGGAACGAGACTTGCTTGCCCCACTGCGCAACGCTCTGCGAGTACTCTTCCAACGGAACGGCCACATACCCATCTTTCCATCGATATGTATGATACAATTGTTATGCCCCTCTCAATATTACAGAGGTTGGCAGTGAGATGTAAAAGATTCTTTGTAAAACACCAGTCCAAACCTTCACGGGGCTCCGGGGGTTTCGATCTAGTATCTGCACGCGTTGACCATGACCAATAATTGAAAAATCTCGCCGGAGTTTACGTGTGAGGAAGCGATAGAACGTTTACAAACCCACGAGGTCCTTCCTTGTTGCGAGTTAATAAATAGAAAATTGGTTTGTGAAAGTGGATCCCGTTTGCGCTTGCATGACGTTCATTCAGATATCATAAATCGCGCTGCTTTGGTTGCTTGGTTTTTGATGTATTGGGGGGGATATTCCGTATAATTCGAACAGGGTGAAAAGGATGAATAATAAAACGTTAAGCCAGACAGGCAAGACGAAAGATGGAGGAATTGATCGAAATGGTCGAAGTCTTCTTTACTCTCTTTTGATGAATTGGGGGAACTCGAATGTAGAGGGAATGTAATTGCGAAATTCGGATGGTATTTGAAATTAGGAATTCTTTTAATTATTACGAAAGTAAGGGAGAAAGAAGATAAAAGTCTAGATGAGAAGATATGGTTGGTTCGTGGGCCTGGTATGTGCGGGAGTACGAGCGAGAGGAGATGTAGGAGTATGTGAAAGTATGAGAGGGTTAATTTTCCAAGGTTTTTTGCAGGTGATGGGGAAACGAGGGATGGGATGGGATGGTATGGGATGGGATGGGATGAAATTGTGGATGTGGATGAGATGATGAAAATGAATTGGATTAGAGATTTTGTTGTGCGTGGTCGCCAGGACCTGGTCTAGCTGTGGCTGATTGATTGATTGATTGATGTGTATGGTCCAGGTCCAATAATCCAGTAGGTAGGTAGGTAGGTAGGTAGTGTAGTATAGATTCAAGAATTGTACAGAGGAAGAAGGAAGAGATGGCTGGCTGGCTGGCTGGCTTGTAAAGGGCCAAGGGATGAATTGAGTAAAATCAAGTCTTTTGAAACTCCTTCCCAAGAAAATAAAGAGCCCGTTGATCTGAGTTCACTATTCAGCCCTCGTTTCGTTTCTCGTTTTATGTTGCTTGTGCCGTATATATTCGTAACTTCGTTAAATCAATGTTGAATCATCTATTATTATAAGTCATGTACCCGATCCCGTCGATACGGAGAAGTTATGCCTCCTCTTTCAATATTATATGTACAAGAGGTAGTTATGGTAGGTAGTAGATATTAGCTATTAGATACTAGACTACCTACATCCTACATCCTACATACTCGTTAACGCGCAGTCATAACTGCCACAAATATTACAATGCGGAGTCACTGCAGGAGCTCGGTACGGTACGGTACGGAGAAAAGTCAGAAAGTCTCAATTCTTCCTTCAATTCACCACTTTAGGTATCTGTTCTCCCTTAGCTTACGAAGAGAGTATTAGGTGCTCTGTAGTCAGACATTGGCATCAAACTCAAACTTACGAGATGAACCAATGTTTTTGATTTTTGATACTCTCCAAATCCACTTTTGAATCCACCACCCAAATCCACAACTCAGGCACAGGATCAAGTAATGACATGAAGACAGTGGACACTGGACACAAGTATCTACTCCGTCGAAGGCAAGAAAAATAAAATGTCAAGGTGTACGCTAATTTTGTTGCCCTTTCGGTCTAGAACTAGATGTTTAAAATCAGGGACCAGTTAAACGATCATGTACCTATTACGGACGGTACAAGTTTTCATGCATCCGGGTTGGTTTTGTGCGCTGTAGCGCTGTTCGATGCATACATAGCATTGGCATAAGAATAAAAATTTCATCGGAGGGGAGGTTATGTTTGTGCTGTAACTTGTATCCGTACTCGTATCTGTATTAATGTCTACTTTAGGGCTTTAGATGCCTTTAGGGTTTTCCAACAAAGAAGATTTAAACATGAATTGTTCTGCTTCGACATCATTCCTGATTCCCTGAGTGTGGTACAATGGTTCTTAGGAAATCATAAATCATATCGGACAATATTTCATCTATGAATGGAAACAATTTCTAGGATCTTTTCTTCCTTGTAATCTGACATTCATGGATGATAACCCAGTACGGAATACGTACATTCGGACTGACATACATATTTACCCCAAGCTCATCTAAGAATGGGTATCCATTGGTCTGCCCTTAAAGTAAGCCTCCGACGATACATTTCAAGCAGTCATCCTATTTCCCGGCATCTGGGGCACAGATTATGGTTTCCTTTGCTTGGTACTTGATATTTCTAGATATCTAAATTAAGCCAATCATGCTATAGATATTCTATAATATCCGAAGTCTCACTTCCCGACTCCTTTTCTTCCCAGGTCGTTGAATATAAAATACCGATGCTAGACATATAATGACTTAATAAGTCCGTTCAATTAGTTCACCGTTGTCGAAGGGAGAGATAGAATTATCATTGTCTCACGTCCCCATTGAATCATCGCCCAACAATTTCAATCTTCAAGACCTTCTCGAGTGAACAGCTCATCTATTCCGTGTGCCTAGGTACCAGTCAGTAATCAACTCATCTGCATGTGCTTGCGGAGTGCATCTTGGTAGCTAAAATCCTAAATTACCCTTCACAATCCGAATTATGGCCTGACACGTAAAAGGTAACAATGCAGCCAAAGAGTTGCATACGGTATTACAGAACCACAGGGGTAAGCTCGTGGGCAGTGTATGGCTGCGTTTTATAATTACCACCCTATTATCACATTTGAACTTCCTTGCACAAACAATATTCGAATCACAATAATACGACAGATAGAAGATTAAACTTCTAGATGAGCGAGATGAGATCTTCCACACAATATTCATGCTCCAATATTTGTATGTATGTACTTGCAATTGTTAGCGTTCTCCACAATCGTTCTGCTTCCTTTCACAGGTGATCAAGCATCGACAGCACGGATTCATAGATGGCGTTGAGACCGCATCTGAACGGCCAAGATCGCAATCCTCGAACCAACCACGCCGGCTGAAAAATTTGACCTGATCAGTCTAGTCTAGGTGGCTCCAACGCTGCGGTTCATAAGTTTCAACGACTCATGAAGCGGCCAAAAAGAATATCGTACAACCGACCCCGTGTCTTACCGTTCGTCGCGCATAGGTATCCTATGGGATGAGAATCCCTCGTGGAGGAAGCACAGGATCCCCACTACAAATACTATCGAGTCATCGAATAGCTTGATGAGACTGCACCTGCAGCACGTTATGCTGGACTGCCTGAGCAATTGATTGTTGTCTTGAATCTTGAATCAAAAGCTTATAGACGGTCTACCGTGCGCGCAGAACTCTTTCTATTTCCTTTAACCATACTCATACTGAAGATTCAGGGGAATCTATTACGCTTTTCCTGTAAACAATGTGTCACCGTGGTGGCGTGGCTAAAGATCTATAAGCGATATTTAAATACAATTTTATCAGGTGGGAAGGTAATAGGCTGTAGGTAGTTAGTAGATGGAAGCAGAACAAAAAGCTAAAAAAAGGCACAAGACAAATACAAAGTAAGACTCACAAGGACCAGAATGTGCTCCCTTCCACAACCCTCCCACAACCCGGAGCAAAATTAAATCTTTTCCGAAGCGCGAACACTTGCCTCAGGTTAAAAACTGCCTTTTCCCATTTCTCAAGGAGTACACGACTTTTCTCCGGCCAAACTAATGATTGGCTGTCTTGGCAAAGATTTCCCTTGACTCTCAATCGGGAAAGAGATATGCAAGGACAATGCATTCCCTCAGTTAAACTTTGAGAAACTTCAACCACTTTGGGATATTCTTCATTTCTCATAATTACCAATTAAAACGTTTAATCATTTCTTTGTCATTCTTCACGAAAAAGATACTTTGTACATGTCAGCGAAGATGAAGCATAAAGCATTTAACATTTAGCATTTCAGAAATCGGCCCAACCTTTTTAATCCCTTCGCCCAATCCGTACATTTCGGAAATTATCAAACTCACAGCCATTCACTTAATAATTGGAGCACAACGTTGAAACTTTAAATCCAATTCATTTATTTTTTTATTTATTTATTTTTTTCCTTTCCAAGGGGAAGTGCGACATGTACAAGGAATCTTCACGTTTTTGTTTCGTCATCATAGACAATATCATGTGTTTTGAATCCTACGTCGAAAGCGTCAACTTCTTACTCGCGTGTCGCATAATAATATCTTGGCTCTCAGAAAAGCTTCAAGTAATCCATTTCCTTGCCATCCCTATTTTTTATGGTGGCGACGACATATTTATGCACGGCACGGTGTGGTATCTAAGTGTAAGTAGGTAAGTAAAGTCATAGCTCCCATAGAAATGCAACGCAGGTCCAAACAAAACTCTGGGGTAGTGACGCGAGAGGAGACATAGCACTACACCGCAGTGTACAGGTTAAATTTGGCTTTTCGCATCTCGTACTTACGGTGTAGAAACTACGCCGCAAAATTCGATTTGATTTCTGTAAGTGAAATCTAGTTTTCTGTATCATACACGCGAGGATGAGCCGATCTGCACTGCCATCTTTGACCTTGGGTCAATTGATAGTCTGTTGTATACGTTTGGGGCGCAGACCTCTTGGGTTTGGGGTTCACGATACTGCATGTGGACTCGTAGTTAAGCAATGGGATTTTGGGATGTTTTTTGAGATGGTTATCGAGTTGGAAGTTTAATATGCACGTATGAATGTGCGTTTCCGATGTCAAATTGGCGGGATATTGTCCATCTGTTCGGATTTATATCCTCACGAAGTCTACATCAAATTTATTGATCCGAGCCTCAATTGTGGCTTGGTAACAAGATCTAATGACTAGCCGGTCCAATAATCTGGATCTGCCTGACCTTGGTCTTGGGATCAAACTCCACCGCGGCTGCGAATACGATCAATGGTCATCACCACATCATTTTTGGTTGGTATTACCAACATTGACTAGTTCTCATGATGGCCTTCCGGCCAGATGGTCAATTGCTTGCAGCTTCACCGGAAAGAGATAGGTGATCAGGTTTAGTGGGGGGGGTGAGGTCTGAAACGTAGTTGGTTGGGCTATATTTTGATGGGACATAAGTTGTCTGGGTTAGTTGAAATCTTCTTGGTGCCTGGTTTGTACGCATGGTCGAAGACCTAGTAGCCTTATGGTTCGTCTGGGCTCTATTCGTGTTGGTTTAGTATGGTAGTGTTGGAAAGAAGGGTGTTGGAGAGTTGTCCGAGGCCTCGGCGAAGACCCTTAAAAGAAGGAGGGGTATAAAAAGACGGTATTTTAAGCCCAGCAGTGCAAGATATCTACAATAAATTAATATTCAGATATCTTCCATCGATATTCTGTAATACGCTTCTCTTTCCGTTTGTCCTTGGATATGGTTTTTCCGCATCTATTCTCCCTTTACAGTGGTATTTAGTAATTACTTGAATCCATGACTCGCTATTGTATTTCCATTCTATTGTTCTCTTATTCTATTATTTCCGATATTGTCGTTTTATTGTAATCTTAGTCTCTTCCCCCTTTGAATTTTATATCGCTAGCAGAGCCTCTAGAGATGAAATACAAAACTAGTATGATGCAAATATCTAGAAAATTACTATTTTCATTCAAGTCAGGTATTTATCTATTTAATTATATAAAAGTAAATAGTAAAAACCAACCAATCAACCAATCAATCTTATCTGTTGATTCATCACCATCCATCATCACCATCCCTTTTAGAAAACAGAAAGTTAAAAAAAAAAGAATTAAATCTTTTTAAAAGCGTAACGGATAACAGATAATGGATAACTCCGCACAATTGTCATCCTCCCAGCGGCGGTGCTCTGTAGTGGCTTATGGCTAAGTAGGTTATATCTTTCTTTTTGGAGTGGGTGGTTGAGGGTTGAAGTTAGAGGTTAGAGGTTAGAAGTTAGAAGTTAGAAATCTGCGGTCTAAGGTTAGAAGTCGGAAGTCTACTCACTGCATCAATGGGATTATTGGTTGGGTTTTGGAGCATGCGGGGGAGGGGGAGGCGGGGAAGGGGGTTATATGTCTAGGTTGGGTGGATGGCAGAGGGAAGGTGAATGGAGAGGAGGAGTGAATATGGTACAGTAGGTTGGGTAGTAGGATGTTTTGTTTTGTTTTGTCTTATTTTTTAGGTGAAATATTCAGATTGTAATGATGCGGTTCGAGACGCTTTATCTTTATCCAAGGGCTGGATTTTCCTTCATTGATGGATTGGAAACAGAGATAGAGACAGATGATGATATTGTGGTATTGAATTGTTTGTTCCAGAAGTGAGTCTTGCATCTCTCGTGTATTCAGCACAGCTTTCTATTCTGAGCGGAGTTTTTAAGAGAATACTAGGGAGGTACGTCCGAGAATACTAGGTAATTAAGTAAGTATGACTACCAACACCACGAATCGACGAGGAGTCTAGGTCTCATGTTTTGCCGTCTATAAGAGTGACTGTTGCTGATTCTTATCACTGTAGTTATTCGTTCTATATCTCGTCCTTTTCAACATCGATAATATAATATCGTCTGGATATTCTACGGCTTGAAATTTTAAAAGTTTATTCTACTTGTTGGCTTTCATGTGCTAGCAAACTTGTATGCAGGATGAATATCCTCATGTGTTGTGTTCTCCGAGGTGTTATTCCATTTGGTAGTCGAGAAAAAACTGGGTGTGGATGGTTGTTTTATAAGTAGGTAGGTAGGTAGGTAGGTATTGGTTTTGGGAATATTGGGTGCTATGTGCTAATTATAGAGCATTTATGATTATTATGTGAGGGGTTTTGGGAGGTGGGTTGATTAGTTGATGAGCACTACGTGCGTGGTCTTTTATTGGATGTGAAGTGGCTTTGAATTTTATCTCGCAGACAATATAAACGAGATCTTCTGTTGGATATGACCTCTTTATTGTACTTGAGTGCCACAATAAAAGATGGTGGTTATGGTCTAGTGGAACGAGAGAGAGATTCTGAGCTTTTCCTCATTTAGCCTACGAATACCTGATTCTAAAATACGGTATTCCGATGAATACATCTCTTCTCTGTAAGTTTGAACTAGTTATTGTCATTCAAATCGCCTTTAAAAGATTACCTTGCTGTCGATTATCGATGCTGTTAACTACCATCATTTTCTATTTTACCTTTTACTATGATCTAATCTTAAAATATAGTGAGCTAAGTCGAGGAAATTAGTATTTTCTCCCTCAAGGGCTTTTGCCTAACGTCTGTTCCATGGCCACAGCCTGAGGAGACATTTCTGGATTGTATATTTGAGATATACAGGGTGAGGACATCAAATATCTTTTCTGTTTACACATTGTCGAGGTAGCATGGGATACTGTGTTATATAGAGAACTTTTGTGTAATGGTCTTTCATATCACATGTGCATTCACTTAAGAGCAGGTTTGGATTTCTGGGAGTGAGTGAATGAGTAAATAAATACTCGTGATCATACAAAGTGTGATATAACAACATCGATATCTTTTTATCTCACCCTTAGACCCTTCTTTGTGTAACGATACTGTACTGGAGGCAGCCGCCGCCTCCAGTACAGTATCGTTACAACCATGACCGTCCACTCATGGCACTAAGCTTGAATTTTCCCGATTAATTGGCACAATTGCTTCTTCAAAGAGAGATGGGTGCGCGCTTTAGACTGTAAGGTCTCTTTCTTTTCGATTTCTTGGTAAAGTTGATTCAATTGACTTTGAATATTATCAACTTTGCTTTTTTATTGTCATTTTTATAACAATGTTGTAATTTTTTATATCTCTGTTTGATTTCATCAGGCAAGATGGAAAATTCGACAACTTCATACAAAATACTTTAAATCTTACATTTTCCTTATCAGTCCTGCTATTCTTGAGATACTAGCTAATGCACCTCCCCGGCCTGTTTGGCCATAATTAAAACAATCCCACCTCTTCTTCCATACTTGCTTTCCTTGTTTGTAGTGCTGCACATAGGGGATTGAAGCTCTTTTAAATAGTGCAATGGTATGATTTTAGTCTTTACCCCTCCTCCCCCTCTGTTGCTAGGACAAACCTACTGTCGCAGCTTATGTACTTGATCGTATGACCCTTCCGCACAATCTTTGGAGTTGTTTAAGGATGATAATTGCTCATGATATGACTGCCTTCTAATTATGGATATTGAAACTTCAACGGAAAGATGATCTTTGAGGTTCTGATTCATTAGACTATTTTGCAGAGCTGAGATTGAGGTTACTGATATGATTCTCGAATGGTATGGCTTTTCGTTTGAAGTCAGGTAATCAAATGGAAAATTAATTGTTGTCAATTGTTACATTTGTTGCTATGTAAGCATTATCACTGACAAAGTTCAAGATATTGGCCAACATCAGATGATATAGACTTCCTCCATCTTATCATATTATAGGACTTTCCTTACCACCGATCTCTTATAACAATCGTATGTTGTTGATGCAATAAAGGAAAATATCCTAACTTCACTTGATTTATAGTAGCTGTGGTGATAGTAGAGGAACTCCAAAGCGTTAGACTCATTTTTTAAATCATATTCACCTCTTGCAGTCATACCTAATTATGAATCGTTCTACCCTCCTGGAAATTCTACTGAGCCCCGCTCTTGTGGGTGAATATACAGAAAGGGGGAAAGCATGATATTTCTGCCTTCACAAAATACTCAATCCCTCAATCTCTAATTTCTAGTTCTTGGTGCACAAGGGAAAAGATTCCTTCATTGCATTGTTTTTTCAAGGAAATTTAGAACTGACTAGACAACGCGCCATGTTTTCACACCTTCATTAGACAGCACAAGTGAATTGGAAGTTGAGGTGCATTCAGTTAGTTGCTTCCAGGAGTATTGTATATATTAGCTTTGATATATCGTACTAATATATCGTACTAGATTTGATGTCAAATGCTTAGACATGCTGCCACAATATTAATGGTATAGAAGATTCGTTTCTCGCTATCACTCTCGAAGTATCATCCGAAAGCAAGTACTATAAATTCAAATCCAGTATTGTATTGTAACTTCTCTCCAAAAGAGTTATGTAAGACTTAAATCTCCTCATAGAAATCAGAAATTAGAATCCTACAAACGGAGAGAAATTCGTTTCATTGATAGCTTGTGAAAAACAGATTCTTTCGTTGTTGTCCCTTTGATACGAAGCATCAGTAGACTAGGCAGGTGCGTCTTAAATAAAGCCTCCTTCATTCTATCACAACAATTGGCAAGGCTTCAATTTCTGAGCCTCTTCTCCTCGGAAACTCCTGAATTCCCCTCTATTTCCAAACTTGGTCTGTAAAAGGGGAATTTAATGAGTGAATCGCAAAAGAAGGATACTAAAACCCGAAAATTCCTAAACACTGCGTCTTGCTAACATTAGTACTTTACCCTGGTCATGGTATGTACATATAATATATCTATCTGACGGTTTTCAAGCTTAGGGCTACCAAAAAGCTAAAGAATAAATAGGTAACAAGTTGTAGCCTGTTCCAATCTCTCAACCTCTCTAAGGAGGAAAACTTGCTGTGGGCAAAAGTTCAGCTAAAATGTTGTAATAAGATTCATTGAGAGGTTTCAACTTTGATGGCATATATTTGACGAGAACCACATGTGGAACAACCGAAAGTGACAATGATTATGAGAAGACTGGATGATATCCAGTCTAGAATATCAGATCGCTGCTTGAGAACAATATCCACTGTCTTTTCAGGTGATTATTCGAATCTCTGATTTTGGTTTTCAATCAACGACATCAAAGATCCGTAAAAAAATTACTTAATAATCAGAGGGATAGAGGCCTTTGTACAAGGTAATAAGTACCCAGATTATTAGTATGACTCGGGACTGATCATTATTCTTGTTAATGCTGGAGTTTGTTTTGAGCGAAAGAGATATAGTCGAAGGAGCAGAGAAGCTTGGAAAAGGCTCAATCATGCAGTGATAGCCGAAACTATTTTGAGCCTAGAGCAGTTGGCTTTTTAAATATTTTTATTTTCTTCCTCGCAAACTCATCCCATTCACTTGGGTACCTTGTAAGTCTGCTCCACGTAAGACCACATGAGCGAAAGTAGGTAGCTTCATGCCCGTTTTTCTCTTCTCCATTCAAATTAAACCCCACTCCAACAGGTCAGACTTCCAAGGCAGTCTCGTCCCAACTATATCAAAACATAACATCGTAGCTTTAATTGTGTAAACCTCAAGTCAAATAACTATGCTATATGCCCAAAAAATTCAGAATATTTGTTCACAACTCTTCCGCCCAGGCGACTTTCTCCCACTCCAAAACTAGGTAGGATTACAATACACCCTCCTATTCGGAATTCCGACAGATGTGCAGCAATATTTCCAACTAGTCATTTCCCAAAAATGACTTAATAGTCTTGATTGGTTAATCCTTTGAGACTCAATGTATTGTTGCATATCTGAAGAATTCCGCCTAGATTCTCAATTTGGTTCCGGATATATAGCAGACAGGGCTTGTCTCGGAATCTGCTAGATGTGCAACAAAACTCTAAGTTACTTTCATGGCAAGTATATCTATATCATTATGCCGTAGTCTTGATTGGTTGAGACTCTGAGATCAAATGTATTGTTGCATATCTGAAAAATATCCCGTATAGATTCTAATTGTGGATTGACGGAATTTCTCTCAGGCAGGAGTCAGTCAGAATTCATCACATTTGGAATCCTCCACAGTCTGAATCCTTCACAGTCGGAATCCTTCACAGTTGGAACCCATTGTAGTCGGAATCCATCACAGTTGGAACCCATTGTAGTCGGAATCCATCACAGTCAGAATCCGTCAGATATGCAACAAAAGACGTTGTGGTATTCTCATGCTAAAATAATATTTAAGAAATTAAATGTATCGGGATATGAAAGTAGTTTGGATGATAATACCGAGTTGAGAGTTATAATAGGGTCCAAAGAAGGGAGTATTCTTTCATATATTTTGGACGAAAGTAACCTTACTTAAGTCACAGCTTCAGAGAAACATATCGAATATGTCCAAGTAACCACGAACCTCATAATTGTTGTATATCTAGTATTTGTATCGATTTTCGTCTTCGCCATACAAGGTAAATAAGCCTTCTTAAATAGAAATAACAGTATTTCCTTCATCTGTGACAGTCAAGAAGTGACAGCTGCAGAGACACCATAACTATGGCTACAATAATCAGATGACCACGGAATGTTCACAGTATACCAAAATCAAACAGTAAATCAATCTGTGCAGTCTTTATACTCGACGGCATCCTCAACAAATAGAGCATACCAACCCCTCGGATCTTCCTAACAGTTAGTCTAACTCGAAGTTCACATGTATGAAGCAGACCACACCAATAATGAATATGCGGCATTCAAGCGACTGGAGTCTGGACCTCTTTAGGTTATTCTGGCTAACACCTGCAGCGGAAATGAAGTGGAATCAGGATCTAAATACCTTTCGGTACTATGGACCTCCCAAAACCAGCTGTTCATACCCACGACTTCGTAGTGACATAAAATTATAGGGATGGGTCAATTAGTTCCACCAGCATGTTTCGAATCGAGGGAAAAAGAGTACGAAGGGTACACGAATCCTCATGGACCTATCACTATTTCATGCAGGAATTTCTCTTCTACTTTACTTGCTCTTTGGTATTGCATGATGGCAGTCGGATAAACTAACTGTAAAATAAGCATCGAGAATAAACTGTTTTGCCGAATCATCAGCTAATCAAAACATAGTCATGTTTCCTCTGTCAATAGAACGGGCTACAGCTTCATCCCTCGCTTAAATCATGAGACGCACTCCAGTAGATTCACATGTGCATCTCCATGGATGGTTCACGAAATCGCCATCAATTCACACGGATTAGAAGAACTGCTTACCGGGAAACTCGACGCTACATTGCTCGAAACATTCCCATTTCTAAATATTCACAAATCTTGGAAATCGCCAGCGGAAGATTAGAAGTATCAATATACTCATCCAGCCGCAGTTCACGTCTAGAATATCGATTTCTCCCAAGATGAACAAATGTACCAAGTCGTCATTGTGCGCAACCTCGGACCCTGAGTTCAAACAACAGGTATTTAGAATCCATCCAGATTTCGAAGAATCCTGCACCAAGAATTTATTCTCTTAGGATGAACTCATAGTTTCCGCCAGCAAGTTTTTCAACAAGAGATTTACCACGAAAAAGGTCTTATTGAATTGGGAGTTGGCAATAAAAAATCCTATGAAGAAGCTCCGGTGCAAAACATGCATAATTTACCAATCCAAAGGCTCCTCCAAGGAATTAACAGGAGCGATCCACAGGACTAAGACAATGAGCTGTATGCAAAAGAGCTGGGGGATCTCTAAGGAATACGGAATATTGACTATAAAACTGTTCTCTATGTATGTTCCACCTCGGAATTGGGAAGAGACGATGGGGATTGAAGTATTTGAAAGATGAAAAGATCATTAGAATACCATTGAAAGCACGGGAAAAGAGAAAAAAAAAGAGAAAAGTAGTACAAATTTGGCGTACCAAATAGGTCCTCGCACACTTGGATTACCTGTTTGACCGAGTGATATTCGTGGGGTCATCAGATCCAAATAACAACCTTCCACTAGAAATAGTAATTCTATAAACTGGCTAAAAAAATGATTATTTGGTCAATACGCCTTATTGTTAAATTCATAATCATACCACCGGTGCCTGAACGCCTGGGTATTCTCCATTTTTCCCTTCCTTGCGGTTTCAAAAACCAACAATTCATTAACCATAATCGCCCAAATCATCAAAAACATCTCCTGTTTCCTCATTACCCCTTTTATCAAACCAGCCTCCAAAATCAAGCTTCATCAGTAACCTGTCCACTCTACCAACTTTAGCAGGAACATATGCCCCTTCCTCTCCCAAGACGAGTTCTTCATATCCACTATCCCAGCCATTTTTATCTTGGTCTATGTCCCGTAGAGTCTTAACCAATTCTTCAATTGCATCTTTTACCCGTTTTGCTACTGTTACAAGCTGTTCTTTGATATCCTGTTCTTCTTTGTGGAAGTCAGAGAATGCATCTACTACTCCCTCGTCGGCTTCAAGATCCAGTGATTGCCAGATAGAATGGATACGGTGGACAAGAGCGACGAGGTGATCAATTTGCTGCAGTAGATAGTATAGCGGGTCCGTAAAAGTTGATGTATTTAGAAGAAGGTTGGATGCCAAAGCAGCGAGGTATCTCCTATGTGCATCTGCGAGTGTTTGTGGGTCATGACTGTGGCTAGCGTTCTTCGAGGTCGATTGTCTGGCAGCTTGCAACCAGATATCTTGATCTTCATCTTGGGACCTTGATGCCTGAGTCTCTCCCGTGAGCCAGGCTGTAAAGCCTAACCATGTTCCTTGTACAACCTCGCCTTGAAGATATGCTTCTGTCTCACCTAAAAAGAAGACTGCAGCTCTGCTGGTTGCCCACACGCTACGCATGGCGTGAGAACGTTCTTTAGCTCTATTTCGAAGTGTGAGAACCTTTTTTCGACCAAAAGTAGAACTTCCAAAAGGTGGGCCAGGAGGTGCTGGATGATCACGACGTAAAGAAGTTATCTTCCAAAGATTAGTGAGTCGCAGGTGTGCCCTGTGAACTGCTAAAAGATAAGCATTGATGCTTGAATACATCTGGATGTCAGATGAAGTAAGGAATAGATCTAAGGGCGAAGGGATGTGCATTGTAAGAGCCACAGGAACCGAAAGAAGGAGATTCCGGAAAGGGGTGGAGACAATCACAGAAGATTGTGAAGCACTTGAGCTGGCCTTTCCTTGTGTATTCGGATTTCCTTTTGTAATACTCAACTGAACAAGATCTCTTGCAAGTTCAAGCAAATCGTCATCATCCTCCTCATCGTTCTGGCCTTGTTGTGCGCCCATCGCAGCCCAGGTCCTAGCAAGGACAGCAGAGACTTCCCCTTCCTTCACAACAATATTTCCCAAGCCTTCCCTCTTCTCATATCCCAAATTTTCGGATCTTCTCCATCGTGATCGAATCTTTTCATCGGCCTCAGATATTAACGCTATGGCAAATTCTCCTCGACCAAGCAAAAAGAATTCTCGTAGTAATGTCAATACTTCAATGACCTTGCTCAACGGCAAGAGCTTTTGTAAAGTAGTTTGAGATAGGGAAAGACGGATAGCGGCTATGACTCGGGCGAAATTGGCGCCATTGATTGGAAACTGGAGGGTAGATAATTGTCGTAAATGAGAGGATAATAAGTCGAGTTCTGGAGATGATGCAGAAGAGATGCCCTTGACTCGAATGTGGTTTAAGGATCGTCCGATGAAGAGAAGCGATGAGGCAGTGGAATCCGACACAAATGCTGGCAATAAGTCCTTATTAGTCTTGTAATCCTATCACCAGTCAGCGAGTTTTTGTTTAAGCAAGGAGCATGAAATTGTACCTCGGAATCATCCTTTTGAACGAAGAAATCCCCGCGTCCAAAACTCGGTAGCCGTCCGTATAGAATCCAGGCCGATACCTGCTTAAGCCAAGCAGTCTGCGCGACCTTCACTAGACTTAGTGCCGCCTCCTCTATATCTGCATATCCTGTTTGTATAGCATTGCACAACTTGTCGATGACCATAGCCCCACTACACTTCTTTCCGCCCACATCTTGCATCATGAAGTCCACAATCTCCAAGAACCATTCCATTCGCCTTGTCCAGCCAGAAAATTTCTCCACGATAAATGTCAGCGGCACAATATTATATGCGCCCACACTCCCAGAATCTTTGCGCAAGATGCCATTCTCAACCTCAAGTACTTTCCGTTGAAAGCTTACAATATGTACGGAGCTTATAGATGTAGCAACAGCCTGGCAAATACTCGAGGAGTGCTTTGAAGATATAGTATTTGTTTGCGCGAGGAGCTTGCAGTGAAGGTCACTTAGATGGGCGACAGAGGAGAGGAGGGACTTTTCTGAGGGGGAGAGGATCGAGGATGAGGATGAATGGTCGGCAGTGAGGAGCGGAGACGGATGCCCTGAGAGTGAGAGGAGTATCTCGTGGAGCATTTTCGCTGGGAACTGGATCTTTTTTACAATCAGCAAACTCAGAAGTCGCAGTGGATTGCGGCGGAATGCGCTGGTAGGCCGTACCCGTTTTCCTTCTTGTCCCTAAACCAATCCGCCAAGTCGTAGTATAACAATAAAATAGTACCTAATAACTCAAATCGGCACATTTGGTTCACAACATATTCATTTTCTAGGGCGCATGAGCCATACAGAAATTCTGTAGAAATTGAGTTGTGGTCGGGCGATGAGGTTATAAATTTCCCGAATTGATCGCGTTACTGGCGCGTTGCGGGGACTGCGGACTGGCAAGAAGCTTGGAGCAAGGCTTGGCTTGGCTGTTTAACCTTAACCCTTCACTTCACTTCAATATCAACATCAACATCAACTTCACCTCAATCAAAATCACAATCACAGTTCCATCTACGTATACATTCATAAATCTGTAACACTCATACTATAATTGTGAGATTATTTGAGATGACTTTTTGAAGCCAACGCGGTCAATTTGGTCTTCTCTAGATCCTGCCGACTTTAGGACCTCAGAAAACACACCTCCTGCGTAGACATCTCCTACGTGGACATCTACTAGCCAGTCACAAACAAAGATGCAACCTCGGTTTTGTGCTTTCCTAACATAGTCCCCTCACTTTAAAAGCTGCCATTGAAGTCCGCGTTTTTCTTATATTGATATATATTTTAATTATTGAATAAGATCGATGCACATGAGTATCTTTCCTTACACACTTTAAAACAATATACGACGATGGTTAATTTCAGAAATATCGTTGTCTGCGCATGCCTTCTCGCAACACCTACTAGTGCCTTGAATCAAGCTACGAACAACGAGAATTCACTCGCTCAAGCACTTTCCTCTCTTCAAGGGTTTCACTCCGAGAAAATTGGTGCTGCACTCACTGCATTTACTGCCAGACTTCAAAAACTCGGTACCGCGCCGAAAGAGTCGACGGAAGCAATCTATGGACAGGTACCTTCAGGAATCCGGGATAACGTCGAGAACGTGCATACTCAAGTCATGAAAACGATTACCTTTCCCGAAGTCATGCAGTTTCAAAAACTCGCCGCAGAGTGGACCACTGGTGTCATAGACGCCTTTAAGAAACATGGTACCGCGCTTAAAGAGACTGCAGAAGCAACCTATACACAACTTCCGTCTGAATTTCGTGATGAGGTTGAAAAGGCGCATGCTAAAATCTATGAAATTGAATGGAATGATTTACCGGTCGATATCCAGGACTATATTCGGGAAAATCCATACCAGACAGCCTTTTACGTTGTGAACGGAATCGTATTCTTTGCCCCAGCCACGTCTAGTGGTCCAATTCTTTGGGCGTTAGGATTCGCAAGTAAAGGGCCAAGGGCTGGTAAGTGAGGAATCTCAAAAGGCTTATTATAGTGCTAAGTTTTTCAACAGCTTCATTTGCATCGATGTTACACAGTGAGTTTGGCGTGGTTGGGGCGAAGAGCCTGTTTGCTTATCTTCAGAGTGCCGGTATGGGAGGCTATGGGCTTGGTGCTGTGAATATGGCGGCCAGACTGGGTGGTGTTGCGGGCATTGTTGGTGGCCTTTTGGGATCGGGCGGTGCTGCTAGGAATGGCACTGCGAAGCTTTGAACGTCACATTCTCGGCATGTTAAGGAGTTCGAAGCTTTTAATTCAGGGATAGGAGATCATATGAAGCAGATAGCGTCGTTATTAATGAACCATCATTTTACATCACGTTACGTTTCAGACGCCTTATTCACGAATTTTATACCTTGTTATACTTCTAGTCAACTGATGGTCCAAGACTGCCACAAGCCAAAGCAGTAGCTGTGTAGCAACCGAGCTGTGGTTTGTTGAAGTTATAAACTTCCCAAATCGGTTGCGTTACTGGTGTGTTGCAGGATGTGGAAGAGGAGCTTGGAGCAACATTTGGTTGCTCAACCCTTTGTTCCACCCAATCACAATTCTATTTAAGTATATATGTTTTTTTTTCGAAGCTCACACGGCATACGGAATTAATTGGGATGATTTGTCAAGTTTTTTATGGGCGATTCAGTCTCAGTCTCGGGCTTCCTTCTTTTGATACCAGCTTCCATCAGCAATTCCTGTCGTACATCGAACATTTCTTTTTCCGACGGATCATTTCCATATGGCTCTCAGAATGTCTACATATTTCAGTCTTTCTCGGTATCGTACTCTCTAGCAAAGAATCTAGTAAATGGCAATGATAGAAACTTCCAGTGATGTTTCTTCCATGCCTTCGGATGAGATAGTGCAATTAGTTAATGTCTCAGAATGCAGAGAATTCTCCCGAACATTAAAGATTCCAAGGGGAATGGCAAAGAAGAAATATTAAGATAGATCATATATGCATGTTTCCGCCGTTTACCGCGGCGTAGACCACAGCGTATACCCGAGAAGAAGCACTTTCGATCGACGATTTCGAACTTGCTTCTTTTGTCTTCTCACATTCTTTCTATCTTATATAATGAACATCTCTGCTCGAGCCAGACGGTTAAAATACCTCGAACCTTGCATTAACCTACAACCATGCTGTCGCTTTTAAAACTCGTCGTCCGGCTTAAATTCACTCAGATTATAAATGGAGTAAGTTACTCCAACCAAGAACTAGAAATGCAAGAATATGCTAAATGGTACAAGATTAGATGGAGGGATCTACCAAACATGATCAAGAATTTGATCAAGGCGAATCCATGGTGGACAGCTTTCTACATTGCGAAAGGAGTCCTTTTTTTCTTCCCACCAAGTGGTCCAATACTCTGGTTATTAGGTTTCACCTCGCTGGGACCGAGAGCTAGTAAGTATAAAAAACGAGACAGGGAAGCATATAACTTACTTTCTGACAGCATCATTCGCATCGTTTCTGCAGAGTATGATCGGTTTGGTCGGGGGAAGAAGCGTGTTTGCATTCTTTCAAAGCGCAGCCATGGGTGGTTATGGAACTGATGCTGTGAAGATGGTCACACGGACGTTGATCGCCGCTTTTTAAATTATCCGGATGAGTCTGTGAAAATAGATCGCAGCTTGGAGTGAAGACAGCAGTGTGGGAAATGATGGAAACAGTTTTGCAAGGGCTGAGAAAGAATAGTTTTACAATGATTCAAGAAAGTTGGTGCTACTGATCTCTGTGAAGTGAACCTTCCATCTCCAATCCTGAGGTGAAAGGATTTAGATTTAAAGTCACAGGTAGCATTACCATAAAGTGCACTTCATTTTCTTCTCCCGCACAATAAGAAGCTGTGTATGGATCTCACCTTTTCTCAGGTAGAGTAGAAGATATGAGTGAGCGCATAGTACAAACAAGACAAGACCTAGATAACAAAAAATTAAAATACTGGAGTTCAGCTCACAGCCCAGGGCGTGCACAAATCGGCAATTTCTCTGCCCTTAATGTTGACATCCTCGTTTGTAAGTTCATATACTCACCTTTGCAGAATTCGCTCACCTCGTTAAAATTCTTAAGCACTTGAAAATTTAGAACTTGGAGGGATAAAATCGAACTTGCTCAGAAACCTCGCTGCAGATTTCAACCATCAGCAACGATGTTACACCTAGCAAAGTTAATCCTTTGGCTCTTCACAGCAAGCTCAGCTATCATATTCCAGACTACAGATGCATATCAAGATCGATATTCTCGAGAGGGCTTAGCTCAGTCCACCAAGTCCAAAGAAACAGCCACGACAATACATGCATACCCTCCTTCTTCATTACAAAAATTGGTAAATAATATGCAGGAAAACTACCCTCGGCTGCCACCTGCACCAGAGAATTTTTTAATCATCATGATGGTCGGCACATGGATTTTCTGGTTAGGTACTTATCGCGCAGCCTTAGAATTATGGGGAAGTAAGTTCAATAGATCGACTTATATAGGCTATAAACTCACTTTTCCGTAGTATCATTCGTAAAAGAGACGCTGCGAGGCATGTTTGGTAGGGCACGCAATACAACAAGAACATTCAGGGATCCGGATCTTCAAAAGTGGTGGGATATTTGGGTTGGAAGTTCGACACCGGCTTTTGGTACAATGCGTAGTAGGAACAATTCACCCGAAGATACCGGTACAAGAATAACAGTTTCTAATGGAGTATGGAAAGTACTCAAAGATGGTGGATTCTGGAAGAAGGTGCTCAAGTCATTCATCACCGATGTATTTTGGGGAATCTTTTTGTTCTACTGGAATTTATTCGTTATTTGGCGTGATGCATGGGCTCTGTTTTGTGAGTCGATTTGGTGCTGTCTCGTGGAATGTTTCGAACTTCACCCAGATGGGAGTTATTCGATTGTACTCCGCAGAATCAGTCGTCGTGGATGATTTGCATCTTTTGCTTAGGCTTGATGGTGTTTTTTCAGGTAAAGTTTGATACATCGAGGGATAGACGATCTGTATCTAGGTCTACTGGGGATCGCAGGAATACAAGTTTATCAATCTCGTTAATGGGATGGTATGATCTCGTTGATGGTCCGGAGATGTAACTAGGTAGCACAATGCAACATCTCGTCCAATCCATCTTAAGCTCTTTGCGTACCAGTCCATATTTAGTGTGTCTTATTGTTGTTGATATATCTTTCATATACAACCTCTAAAAATAAAAATGTTTGGTTTTGAATGTAGACATCTATGTTCGCAAGATATTATTACAAATTTATACTGACATACAGCCAGTTCTTTGTCCTCCAATCACACGTCCTCTTTCCATATAAAATCTTCTCATGAAATTTTTCTACTACACAAAATTCAGTGGTAAATCATTCCCAACCACTGCCCCAGTAATCATACAATCAAAATAAGTTGGGTATATACAAGAACCAATCCAAAACTACCACGAATAATCGACCGCCTCTCTATCCAACCGTCAGCAAACTACCTAATAAGTAGCATATCTCATTATACGAGGCTCCTGAGTAACCTTCTCCACAGACGTCAAAATATTAAACAAAGAAATCCCAACCAGAGCCTGCGCCTGAATAACATCACCCAAACTAATCCCCGGCGCAACAAAATTCCCACACTGATCACTCACCCGTTCAAACAATCCCGGTCCATCATTCTTCAACGCATCCGTCAACAACGCATACGCAACTGGATTATACAACACACCAGCATGCGTATACAATCCTCCAGCCGGAAGCCCAGCACATGCACCTTGGAGAAAAGTATTAGAGACACCTACACCACGAACATCTTTTATGAAACCTGATGCTGCGGTTCCCGCTTGGGGTTGTACGATTTCGTCGGTGAGTGAATAGATACTGGTGGTAGAAACGTAGGCGGAATCGCCGTCGGTGGAGCGCAGTCGCTTGACGAAATTTGATTCGTAGGTTTGTTGGAGAACTGACGGGGTACAGGCTATGCCGTTTCCGAGGGCAAATCCGGGACATAGAATGTATGCTAGAACTGTACCGTGGTAATCAGGTGAAATGGCGATGTGATCCGTGACGATGTTGCGGACTGATGGCCAATATTCTGAGAATGATTGTTAGCGGGATATTTTGAGAAGAGATACTGCGTATAATACGCACTAAAAGCCCAATGAGCATCAAGGGATCCTTGGGACCAAGTGACAATAGCAGGTTTTCGCGAAGTCATGGCATAGAAGTATTGAAGAGCATAGGCTACATATTCCGCATTAATCTGTGCGTCGGAAGTAAATGCATTCGGTATGCTCAAATAGACGGGATCGGCATAGTCTGTTGCAGAAAGAAGTTTGCCTATATTAGAAGCATACGTGACATATCCATATCCACCTGTGCCAGGTAACATAATCACGGGTTGCTTTTTACCCCAGGTAAAACTAGGTGGGATATAAATTGCAGCTCGGAGAGTTTCCTCGTTGACAGAAAATGGTGCGTCGCCTTTAACAGTATTGTAAAATGTTTTGTTAGAAGACACAGCATCATTAACATTATTAACAGAATTAGCAGCCGGATTCTGAGTGAAGTCAGCATTTTGGAATTTTAGGCTAGACTTCCATTACTCACAACGCCAGATGATAGAGCTTGTAGATCACTAGAAGTAAAACCATCAAGAACAAGTTCGAGGACATTTGCGATAATATTTGCTGGTGCCGTTGGAGAAGCAGATGGATTAGTTACACCCCATACACCAGCAGCCAATTCTTGTGCTTGGGAAATGCTAGTTGGTGTAGCCGTTGGCTGTACAGCCGAAAATAGTTTCTTTACAAGCACTGGTACATCAGTACCGAAGACTGTTCCATTTGCGATAGCATCTGAGATATGTCAGTAAGAGTCCTCTTGCATAGTAATCGAAATTCTCATACTCGCTACTTCATCCGCTGCGGTCAATACGTTCGTCACATCACTTAACACTGCTGGGATGAGTGAAGTCAAACTACCAATATGAGAAACTCTATTCCCTCCACTTGATGTAGGGCAAGAGGAGGAGTCTGTTGAATTTTGTGGTTTGGGTGAGGGGCCTGGAACTAGGGCTGGTGCTGCAAGAGTTATAGGTGCAGTTACAACTGCCAGGAATATACCCATATGTGGACGCATTTTGTGTTAGAGGTACCCGGAGACGATTCTTTAAGCGATTTAATGGATAATGAATGAATGAACGAATGAATGAATGAATGAATGAATGAATGAATGAATGATTAGTTTCAAATGTGAAAACATATAAAGAATTTTGATAAAAGGCTTGATGCGGATAGAAGACGGAGCGTTAACGTTAATGTATGCAATATAATGCTCCAAACCGCACCGTCCCATATGCATGTTTCCAATGCATACTCATCTCGGATTGCTAACTAGGTCATCAATGTGCTTGGGTCATCATTTCTCAGTATTTCACTGAGGTTTTGATATGTACCCGCAAACTGAAACAACAAAGATGAGATTTTTGAGGTCATATTAGAAGATTACTCAAGTAGCCCTGTGAGAATGCGTAAACCTCATCCCAACACACTGCATGCACAGGACCTTAAGTTAGTTAGAAGCACGGAAGTAAGAACAAGCCAAACCACGTGGTCAATGTGTCCAGTAATTCGAATCAGTTATTTACACTAGCATTTTTGAGGGTCATAACTAAAATGGCAAGTTTGAAGCTACGCAAACTAAACCGGGAGCTTGGCTAGTTCGACGTTTGAAACTACCGACTTTCTAGTTGAAGTGTGGAATCATTTTAAAAAATTGTTAGACTGGTTAACTAATAACTAACCTAGTACGCTGCTAGTGCTAGTCACGTACTCTTGCTACTGCGCATTTGGCTAAGGGGCACCATGGGGGCGCGGATCAGAGATTAGCGAGCATTTACAAGAGTATTTCAAATTCTAAACAAAATCAGATAGTTGATAGATAGTATATATCCCAAGCTCGGGAATATAACATAGTCTTATAAGCAGATCAGCGAATGATTTCATATATCTTCTATGTCAGATTGATCTAATCAGATATCCTTTAAAATTTCAGTGTTTTAAGATTTCAAAGCCTGAAAACTAGCCTAAATTATGAACGCTGATCTATGGAAAAATGTCAAATCATGGTGAATAAACATAGCGAGAAAATTTGGTAAGGCTCGAGCCTATGCCTATAGAAGTTTCCAACGAATCCTGGACTAATGAGGAATGTCGACCCGGCATCGAACATTTTAAAGTGAAGATGATGAGTAGAGCCACGAGAACTTCATTCTACTCTTTTACTGCCTCCGTTGACTGGAGGTAGATTGATGGTGCGATCCAAAATCATTGTCGAGGATCCTGATCATCACATTAAACGCAAGTGATATATTATATTCTGGAAAGGGTGCGTCCCTCGCAAGAGTTGTAGCCACAGGAAGAGATTGGTCTCACTAGATGAGGCACTAAATTCTTCATATAAGACATGTAGGTATCACTTTCATAGAATCAACAGTGGCATTATTTGTATGGATAATCTTGTTTTGCATTTTATTTGTCATGCTATAACTATGACTTACGGGATTGTGGGGTACTTATTTTTTAGCATGCTGGAGTGTTGCTAAGCCTTGGAAAACTCTGTCTGCACGGCCGCCAACTCCATATGGATAGAATGGTGACACCACGGGAGCTTTGCAAGCTTTGAAGGTATTCTAATCAGGTATGAAAAAATTGGTTGCCCAAATATAATATTGCTTCTGTGTCGCAAATTCTCCTCAGGACTTCGTAAATCGTCCGAAATAATACACTGCGGAGCAGTGTTCCATCGCACTCAGTCCCCCAGCCTAGTGATTTCGAACCCGATGAAGGATGCTGGATGAGAATTTAAAGCTTTCAAATAAGAAAGACTCTGTATAGATAGTCAGCAAAGTGATCATGGCTATGATTGAAAGTATAACAAGATAGTAAGGTTAAAAGCATTCAGGAAAAAATTAGAGTTGTTGTTTTTTGGTCTTCAGGGTGCGCAAGCACTCGGGGTTAAAAAGCTATGATTTGTTCATCACAAAGCTTGAGGGTATTGAGAAATATGTAGGAGAATTTTTGACTGACCTCTTATAAGTGATTGTGCCCGTCGCATATGACACAATTGGCGGCGCATATTAAATTGATAATTTTGATTGTGATGGAAGAAGAAGAAGGAGACGGACAGCAACAAGAAATTTCAAAATTTAACTCACCCTAGCGAACAGCTAGCGGGGTGGGCGTCAAAGCTCATTTGTGATGACATAATCAGCGTCGTTTGCTACACATGATGTCCGATCTGGATATCATTTTAATTGCGTTACTAGAGCAGCTAAAAGGGGAAAAGATTACTCCAAAAAGGCATAGTATGTGAGAAGCAGATTGCATCAACCTATACACATACAAACGCCATAACAATGTGGTCAGGGCAAAATCTGTCCAGAATACTGATCAAGACTCATCACATGACATCCGTCAAAAAAATCGAAAAGATAACCAAAGCTGCGAAGAAGTTGGACTGTGCGGTATTATTAAAAACTGGGAGACCGCCTGGAGTGATGCTTGCGGAAGGGGAGATTGGGAAAGCCGACGAATGGTTGGACGTTGTGAAGGTGGGTTTTCCTTCGCGGTGGTAAATGCTTTGATCATGATTAGATATAAAAGTGTCTAGTTTAATGAAATGAGCATGGATGAAATCCGAAACGGAAGGCTGATTAAATACTGAGGAGTATAGAATTTAAGATATAAGAATTTCGAATTGATGAAGAAAGAAGAAGTCGATTGGAGGAGATTGGATGTACCAATTGGGAAGGTCAAGCAATTGGAGAGTTTGAAGGACTATGGGATAGAGGTGGGGAAGGATGAAATTTTGAGGAAGTGGTGGAGGCTACATATGGGTTTTGTAAAGGGAGAGGATGAAGATTGAGGTGTATGAAGTGTGAGAGGTGTGTGGTATGATTTGGTATCATTCACTGAGATCGGAAAAGTGACATCGGAAAAGTGAGATCGGGCAATGGGTTGCTCTCCTGTGATGACTCAAACTTCGTTACTCTTTCCCATACATCAACTCCCTAACAGCTATCGGATTCTGTCCAAGAAAGAAAACACCAAACAAACCCGATTGTAATTCCACCATGGATCCCAGCAACTCCGGTCCGGCCTCTCTCCCTACGACGGCATGGCCTAGGTCGTCAGACTCACCAGCCAATCGAGGAGAACCCCCCACTGCGGTTTTATTGCCAATACCCGATTCCGAATGGGTCGATGACTGTATATCAACTGCTTTTCCTCAGACTGCACGTCCTAGATCAGATCTCCTAGCGCCCTTCTTTCCACCAAACGCACCTCAGGGAGGAGCAGCACAGTCTCCAATCCAAACTCCAACTTCTGCTTACCCTCCCACACCGGTTGAAAACCGGACGCTCCTAGGACCAGGTTATGGAAGGCACAAGGGTAGTAGATTATCTTCAAAAGATTCCGAATATGCCCATACTCCCCGCTTTGCGCGCGATGTGATTAATTCACCAACTTCGGTATATCTTCAGAGCGCTTTGCCAGATTCCCTTCGTATCTCTCGAGATTTTATCTCTACAACTTCGAAATATCAGACTTTACACCCTGGACCTTCTCGCTCACCAAACCTAATTCATCTTTCAGATCTAACTCAATCTCCGATAAGCGCAGGCATGTCTGAACTTTTCCCCAAACATATAGAAGATGTACAGACATTTACATCCTCACATATCGCTCTTCCATACATCGATTTTCCTTCCCAAAGTCCTGCTCAACAACAACATGTCACACGTTCTCAACCCCAGGACTACCAACCGCAATTCTCAGCTTCTCCTGGTCCGTCAAAGTCAGAACCTTCAACTCGGACCGCGAGATCATCATCAATCATCATAGGTCTTGACCAAGGAATTTATAGATCCCCCTTTAAATCCTCCCAAAACCAAAACAACCAAGACCTCTTCTATGCAAGCCAGAAAGATGATAGTAGGTTCAGTCGACACCACCCCTCAAGCAAAGGATACATCCGACAAAGAGCCAACTCATTAGACCGAAGCTCCGTACCAACCGATCCCCAAGGTGCCAAGCTCTGGGACGAACGAATCAACACCGGTGAACAAACCTTCACACCCACGAATAGAACTCCCACCTACCAAGAATTCCGCCGAACAACCCAATCTGTGGATTCTCCCCGTTCAGATCAATTCCCACTACCCTCATCTGCACTTTCGCAATTCGAAAATATTCCAGCTCATCTTCGACCCGCTCGCAAATCAGACTTGAGATTTCATCCTAAATTGGTGCAGGAAATATATGAAGAGAGGTGGAAAATTACTGCGGGATATGAGGATTTGCAGGCGTATTTTAGTGTTCCGAAACAAGGTCCTTATAAACATTTAAATTGGGAGGAATGGGTTGAACTTTACGAATATTTGGAAGAGAGGAATCGGAAGGTGACAGAGAGGGAGATTGTGTTTGATTTGAAGGCAATTTAGGGAGTGAAGTGAAGATTAGGGTTGTAGTCGCTGTATGCAAAGTTGATGTGCCGCTCAGAAGTTTGACATAGGCCGCGGTGATCAGATATAGAGGATTATATTCTTTGCGCATTTCGTGATAATCGATGAGTCACTTCTCTTTATGTCAATTTTCGCGAGTGTTTTATGCGCTTGATATGGTTTGATAGGTTCAGTTTTCTTTCCGAAATCATCTCTACATGTATCTGTTGTCGTATGCTGATGACATTTCTTCTTATATTTGATTGTCCAAATTCGTCATGTGTTACAAACTTTTTCATGACCTCTTCACCTAGTTTTGCTATAGAAGAACAGACTAGACCTTATCTTAGTATCTACTAAAGTGAGATATTCTTGAATGGGAAAGAAATAACTGTCTTCTGTCCAAGTGAATGATGTTTGATCACAGGAAAAGGTCATGCTTTTATTCTTCTAGAGTTAGAAAAATTATTCAAGTGGTACATAATTTATAAAAGGCTTCAAAACTCACATAAATTCTCACTCCCATTAAATATTCAATCTTTCAGGATGGCATCGGGATCAAGATCCCCGCTCAATCACCCTTTAATCCATCATGAACGCGTTTCGTAATCTCTTTCCTCACCCTCACACCTTCTTTTCCGGCCGTTCTCGCCAGGACAGAAATATCAGCAGGAAATCTCATTGTACTCCAGCATGGTACAGTGGCCAAGAATCATCCCGACGTCTCGAAAATCTCGGTTGCGGTCCTGTGGTCGATGATAGCATTAGCCGTTCATGACATGCATGCAACTCGCCATCATTATCTTCTCCATGACAACGGCAACAAGAAAAAAGAAGAAATAGTCATGATTACAATCCCGATTTATCAGCTAACGAGATAGAAAACACGAGGAACAGAAGAATTATCAAGAAGACACAATATTTCAAATCAGATTTTCCAATCTCGGCTCCATGATTACATGGATATTTCAAATAGAGAAAGAGAAAGAGAAAGGGAAGTTGAACTAAATACTCAAAGAAGAGATTGTACAGTAATCTTCGTACCCGCTTCCCAAAGATTGAGGATAATGTAATGTAATGTAATGCAATGCAATGTAAGATAAGTTAGAATGAGGAATTCACCTGGGTGAAGTTGTACAA